AGAGAGAGAGAGAGAGAGAGAGAGAGAGAGAGAGAGAGGAGGAGGTGGGGAGAGAAAGAGAGAGGGAGAGAGGAAACGTGCTTACCGCGTGGTAAATGGTAACGACTTATGGCGGAAGAACGACACTTTTGCGCTTTTGTACGATTTTTCTGAACCCCCTTTCGAATTACGCTCGATTGATACGTATACAATTGCACAGAAAATTATATACACATTCAAGTAAGTGTTATTCGTTCTAAATATTTTACAAATTTGTACGATCATAAATCTATCATAAGTTCATTACAAATATTAAATTGATTTCAAATATATTCTGCGAATCTCCTAGTAAGTTCAGAATTTCAATGAAGAATATTGAATTGAAGCAAAAATACGGTTTGCTTACTACATAGAGTCGAGTCTCTCTGTTTCTTCGATAAAATTTTATAGTACTCTTGTAAAGACAGAATAAATTTCTCTTTCAAGCACGTGAAAATGAGCTCTTCTCAAATCGGCGAGTAATATATTTTAAGACTGTTGTCCAGAAAATATTTTTTGTTGAAGATGATCCACTACTTAAAAGAAGGAAGATAAACTGAGTAATTGCTTTTTGCGGCAGAGAGTAAAATGATATTTTTCTGTGCGTGGGTTTTCGTCGATAACGTTCAAAGCTGTTACGTAAAATTTACAACACGTAAAGCTGCGATTAGCTCACGATTGAGTTTTCTTCACTCGCTGTGTGCGTGCTCCCTGCAGAAATTTTACGTTATGTTCGAACTTCACACACACGCACACATGCACGTTACCTGTATGAATCTATCTTTAACACACTCCACCGAAACCTATATTTCTGGCCCACACGACATTGAGCTGATAAAATTTTGCGATGGACAGGCAGTGCATCGAGGTTACGCGCGTGTAACCTTTGAAAGGTTCCGTGAATTTTGATATCGTCGAGGTGTCGGGTGAGTCATCTCATATCGCGCAACGTCGGGCGTTCGAGTCACGTGATTTCTGAGAGAACTATATCAAGTGTATATATCGGTATATACACCACACATAATTTATTCGGGAGTCTCTCTGAGCCTTTTCTGGCACGGCCGGCACTGCCGCAACGTTTGACTGATATATATTTTGCGATAATTGACTATGAGAAATCGTGAGTCTAATCGCGGGATAACGAATTAGATTTGGGCTAATGAATACTGAAAGGCTACGAGGGACGAAGGGTTTAATCGAATCACCGAAACCACATAATCGTATCGATTACATCGTGCCTTGAATAATGTAACGTCATCTATATCCGGAACCGTGTGGATCGATCGAAACGCGGTCCAACGAACGAGACTTCCTCGAGCGTGTCGATAAAACCGCCGCTTCGACGATGTCCGTCTTACTCTTTCTCTTGCTCCTTTTGTCAGGTCTCCACGATGTTTCGGTGCACACGGGTTACTTTGGCTTACAACATCTCGAGTTTCTACGTCGTTTCTTCGTGCCCCGGCGATACAGCGCGACTCCAGCGCAATATTCGAGGCGTCTAGAGAAGCGGAAATGACGCCAGATTTAACCCTAAACGGATTTAAGCAAGATTCCGCCATTGGGCCGCGCGACATTTCTATCGCGCGACTAATCTCGCGTGAAATCGCCTTTACACGAATTGCTTCATTTTCCATTAAGCGCTTCGCAATTGGCAAATTCTCTGCGAATTCATCGAGTTTTCTAACAATTGAGCCGCTGAATCTCCGAAACTTTTATTTAGCTAGTTGAACGGCGATTCATGAACGGGTCTTCGAAACATGTATTTGTTGCGCGCGTGCGTAAAAGAGAGAGAGAGAGAGAGAGAGAGAGAGAGAGAGAGAGAGAGAGACGCCGTCGATTAACCTTTGGCGAAATATTTCCGGCGGCTTCGTTGGATGAAGTCATTCGCGGCTTTCAGCAAGCTACAAATGGGATCGTGGTCGATAAACAGCTCGCGTACGCGCAGGTGTCGATACGTGTTGGTCGCCGAAAGTGACCAAGTGGTCTCTTCGTACGAGCGATTCGCGTCTTCATTCTCGAGTCGAAATTTTGGCCTTGTGTTAAACTTTGAATTCTATAATACAGTAAGAGCTAGCAAAGTTAGCAAAGTAGATTTAATTCTAATGATACAATTTACTTCTACTTTGACTCTGACAATGTTCGGAATTTCCTTTTCCCCTTTTTTTAGAGTAAGAAAAAAAAGAACAGATTATATTATAGGCTTCAGAATATTAAATTAGACGTTGAATGGAATAGTGAGGTTAAAAGTTCAAAATCAAAGGATCAAAATTTCAATTCGGGTAAGTTAAGTGGAATCAAAAGAGATTAATGTAGGTTTCAGAGTATCAAAATAGGTGTTGAATGGAATAGTAACGCTGAAAGCAGGATTTCGACTTGAGCTGTGTCCCGGTTGTCTGGGGAAAAAAAACGCGATGTTTATTCGCAGTTGGATCGCGCGCGCGCGCGAATAATCCGCATACGAAAGTTTACGCGAAAGCAGCGCTTCGTTTAACCTCACAACAGCGAGGAAATCTCGATCGAGAGTTCTCGCATTTGCCTGACGATAACGACGACGATGACGCGCGATCGATGAACTTGGCGCGATCACTTCGGCGCGAAATTTCGTCTCTCACCTGGTATGGGCGCGTTAAGGAAGGCCTGGTTGCCCGTCACGAAGAGCAGAGTGATGACGAGGAGGGACCACGCGAGCACGATCATCCTGGATCGAAGTGGTCAGCAGGTGGCGTTGAGAATATCCGTTCGATCAGCTTGCCGAACTGCTCGGCCGGCAAGGTGCACACCACAGAAATCTTGCCGCTCGCGATCCTCACGTTGCGCCGATGCGGTCGCGACGTGACGCGGGTTTGAGGGCTGCACGATGCTGTCGCGTCGCACAATTATGACGAACGAGAGAGAAAGAGAACGGTAAAAGGAAAAAAGAAATGTTGTCGTCCTCTATCCCTCTTTCTCTCTCTTTCTCCCTCTTCCTCTGTCTTCCTCGTTATATCGAACACGTTTTTCTCGTCCACGATTCTCTCGCTCTCAACGAGGCGCGTCGCTCCGGATGACTCGGCTTCGCCGCCGACTTCTCCGACCGGTTAGCCAGCAGTGAACTGCTCGTGTTCCTGCCTGGGGTATCGTAATATACATAAAGTCGCCAGATAAGCCACGGCTGACACCCCACCACGGACGCGCCTCGTCCGTGGGACGGCCCGTTCCTGCTCGCTCTCTGGTGCGCGCCACTGAAGAGGTTGAAATCCTCGCCTCCCAACGTGGAGAGCGGCGTAACGTGGTCTCTTCCTCGCTGGCCTCGTGGCCCCGCTCTCGTACACTAAGCGTCAATAAACGCCTTCACTTCCGTAAATAGGCATTGCCGGTTTGAACGGGTTGCATCGTGTCGCCACGTCGCGTCTCGATCTCATTCTCGATCTCGTTCTCGCGTCACTTTACGCCGCGACACCTTCGCGCTAAGGCACAATCGGCTAATTAAAGATTGCAACATTTTCTTTTCGATTAACTTCATCACGCATCATTCCGCGTGTGCAATGGGAGAATTTGTTTCTCAGTAATTCTAAGGAGAGAATTTTTCTATTTTTTGACGTTTTTCCTATTAAATATATATGTTACCGACATTGTGTGAAATTTAAGCGTATTCCTGTGTCCAATTTTATCCTGAGTCAAAATTTTGGCTCTAGATCCTAATGTCTCTATGTTGGCTAAATCTTGAATCTTACAACGCAGTAGGAGCTAAATTAACAAAGTAGGCTTAATTCTAATGATACGATTTACTCCTATTTTGACTCTGATGACGTCCGAAATTCCCCCTTTCACTTTTTTAGCCAAAATAGGTTGTATTATAGGCTTCAGAATATCAAAATAGGTGTTAAATGGAATAGTAAGACTAAAAATAGGATCAAAATTTCGAAATAGTAAGTAGGTCGGAATAATAAGTAGATAGGTAAATAGAATCAAAAGAGATTAATGATACTATGAGAAATACGACGATGTCTATCCCACGGGTAGACACATTATGTCACCATGTAATGTAGGTTTCAGAGTAGCAAAGTAGGTGTTGAATGGAATAGTAAGGCTGAAAATAGGATCAAAATTTCAATCCGTTATATAAAATATCTAAACATTCTACAAAATATACTTATCAGTTTTTGTATAATGCCTAAGCACTTCATGTATTATGCCTAAGTATTCTATACAATGCCGGATTTCTCACTTTATCGGTAATATATATACAGAACACGTAGCAAAACTCGATAAAAGTGTTCCTACACTTAATCAGCCGACTGTACAGTAAGAAAGGGACACGAATGAAACTATTATTGTTCTCTTTCTCTCTCTCTCTCTCTCTCGTTCTCTTTTGTTATCGGTCCGTCAATTTCCGGTTGCGTTCCCTTTAGACGTTGTAAAATTATACGAAGGCTTGTGTGTCTCACGTCGAGTCGTGAAAGAGTAAATAACATCCGACGGAGATGGTAAATATTTGCCCTGAACCGCGCTCGCGAAACGCGCGGCTAGTTTTTTCGAAACGGCGTTAGATTTTTCAAGGCGCCTCCAAAATCCTTTCCTCTCCGTCTCGACGTTTTCGCGAGCTCCGCACGCGTCTGCTCTTCCAACCGTGTGATAGACATCGTCGTATTTCTCATAGTATCATTTGGGGCAAAAATTTCGTCGCAGATAGTCACAGAACAACGTTTTCAGCTCGCAGCTGCATTTTTGCACGATTCGCATACGAAATGGCGGAGGCGAGAGACAAAAAATATTTACAACTCTATAAAGTTGCCAGAATCATGAATATTTGCTTTTTTTATCCTTTCTCTCTTTCTCTCACGACGTTTTGGCACAAAAACATTGCGATACTGATACTGGAGAGACGATTGTAATAATTTTAAGTAAGTCTCGAACGTTGGCGTGTTACAAAAATGCATTCCACGTTCTCCTGTGCGCGAAAAGAAAGAGATTCACGCACGCAATAAAATGGAAAATCGAATTATCATTAGCGTTATAGTCACATTTTTTACGACCGCCATTAACAGTCGCAATCTGCACAAACATCTGTTCTTCGATCAAAAGATGTAAATTCAGGCGATCAGAGTCAGTTGTCATTTCTCTCGCTTAGAGCGGATACCACAGACTTTTAGGTATAATCAGACTGCTAACTCCTTAAATTTCGTTTATGTAAAATCTATGAAAAGTATATACGAAATAATATAATTTTGCGCGTGCGGATATAGTCAGTACGTCATTCCTCTATATTTGATTGCAGACTTTGTCTATGTCTCTGCAATTCTAACCTGAAATAAATAAATAAATAAATAAATAAATAAATAAATATGTACATATATATATATATATATATATATATATATATATATATAAAAGTATATATTAAATTTCAAGGTGTTCGATAATTGCCGACGGAGCCGCGGTGCAAGTAAAACACATCAATCCGAACGAAAAAGTCCTGTACTATTATTCAAACAACAACGTAAAATTTTGAGTTATTAATCAAAGAAGATCGATGAATGATAACGCGCAAAATCATGGATGAGCTGTGATGGCGATGCTTGTTTGTATATTAGGTCAAACTGAACAAAAAAGTCCTTTACCATTTTGTAAGTAAGCACATAAATTTATAGCTATTAATTAAAAAAGACCACACACATGTGCAATAATGCATTAATTTTCTTTAATTAATAATTAAAAATCTATGTGGTTATGTGGAAAATGGTCGCTGACTTTTTCGTTCAGTTTGACCTAATATACAAGTACACATGGCGGCAAATATCACAGGTCATCTACCGTATAAGGAGTAATTATTTAATTAATCTTCTTTGACTAACAACGTAAAATTTGACGTGGTAGTTTGAAAAATGATAGAGGATTTTTTCGTTCAGATTGATGTATTCTATTTGTATATCGCAGTTTCCCTTTTTCTTAGAGAATATTAAAAATTTTTAAAATGTTAATAATAAGATGCAAGATAAAAATTTGAATATTAAATGTTATAATATTAGTTAATATTAGATGATCAGATACTAGATTTTTAGTAGGATAAGGTACGGATGGATGAATGTGAACTATTAAGGTAAAATTTTATAAATTAAATTCCTTCTTAGCATGTAAGCTAAAGTAATAAATAAATAAATATAAATATATACACATTAAAATATTAATAATAACCAATATTAAGTGCAGCAATCTTCGGTAATCTTCTAAAAAACATAAAATTTATATATATATATATATATATATATATAAATCATACATAAAAAAAATAATACATTTTAAGGCCGTTATAACGTGATATACTTTTATTTTGCCTTTAAATATTATATATAAGTTTAAATTAAATAGTATAAAATATTATAGATTGTTGCGCAATATTTGCACAGATACTTAACTAAAATGACGAGTGATTTTGAATTACAGGCGTAATTTTAAATCGCAGGTGATTTTGCGATAAAGATTCATTTGCATATCGCATTGCGATTCAAGAAAAAGAATCGCAGGGCTTGCGATATATCTCAAAATCGCATATCTCTAATAACGCATCAATACAATAGTCATATAATAGTTTCCTCAGTAAGATTCAGTAGCATGCACGTTAACGATTAATGTTTCGATGTTTCCGTCGACAAGGAAATCAGCCGATCGCGAGAACACGGTGTACGTGCCGCGAAGAACAGAAAACTGGGAAAATCATTGAAAATCCGTTACGTCAGACTTCCGTGGAGGGAATCGTCGTGTCGACGATAGTGAATTTCTTAGACGCAAATTATTCTAACGCGCTCGTGTGGAAGATCACGTTGTCCGTACGGACCCAGCACGTAACGACTTCGCGTCGGGAAAACCGGCTTGGAATGAATATACGAAATCGATTAATTCACGAACACGGAGTATCTTTGCTCGCTCTTAAAAACCCGTTTCGCCCGTGTATCCCCACCTGGCCACGAACGATCGTGACGTCGACTAAAAATATCGATGCGATCGATGTACACGCGGCGCTTCCGTGTCATTATTCATCAGCGCGATAAGAAGCCGCAAACAACTCCCTTTCTCTGTCTCTGTGTCAGGATGTCTTTAAGAATCAAAATAATCTGCGGTGTGTACCTTTGATACGATTTCTTATCGGGTTAGGCACTTAGATCTCGTCGTTAAGACCGTCGCCCTGTTGTCAATCACCCACGGCGGCACGAAACTTAAGAATAAGAACGTAAAATAGGAAACAAACGTAGAAATTTAATCCGCTCATAAACATTTATAAATATTTTTGTATTAATATTATTAATAATATAATATTACTAATAATATTAATAATATATAATATAAATAATATTAATAATATAAATTATAATTATATATAAATATAATATTATTAATAATATTATTATTACTATACAGACTGTTTTGCAATTAATGACACACTTGTGTGTGTGTGTGTGTGTGTGTGTGTAGATAGGACTCGTTAAACTGGATGAAACTTCCTCTATCATTACGTAAACAATCATATGATTTGAGTGATTAATTAAAGCTGATTAGCTAATGATCACGCGTGATACAGCGGATGACCTGTAATGGCGAGATTTGCCGTCTTGTATGCTTGTATTGTTCATCCACCGTATTGCGCGTGTTCATTCAGTTCTCCTTATTAATACTATAGTCTTACTTGGTTGTGTGCGAAATGGTAGAAGTATTTTGTGTTCAATGTTGTGTTGAGTTCTACCTGCACACAATAAATGTATTGTTAGTCAGACACCTTTTATATTACGTTATTAATTTAGTGTAATATGATATATTGTGATAATATGAATATATAAAATTATATTTTATTTCTTCGTTTCTTTAATCTCTTATCCTCGTTCTCATCTCTAGAGGAGCTAAATATCTATTTGTGCTTTATGAAGACACGGGAGAATGTCGTCCACTTATAATTTCGTGGCTCGAGACCTGTAATATTTTTAGCGAGACGAATTTAAAATTCTCGTGTCTCTCCGACCGATTGGATCTTAACGATAAATTCGTACCTTCGTTATTGCGGTCTCTATTGCGTCATTGTTGCGGTACTTATTGCAGCGTCATCACTGCTGTTATAATATCACGGTCAAGATTTGCGGGGAATATGAGAGATAAATAGAATGTTTTGTCGAAATATGTTGACAAGACGAACAATGCAAAATGTAAGCCGCGTTTTCGCAAGAACACGCGCGATTACGAGAATGAAGGTTCGTGTTGCATAAATCGGTTGCGTTAAATACTTTTCAGCTAACGACGACGTAAACACACTGTTACTCGCTGTCGAGGATTAATG